CCCAACCCCCCGATCCCCCCACCCCGACTCATTTCTCCCGTTTTCCCCTCATTTCCTTGCGAGCGAAGCCGCAACAGGTACCCTTGTGGTCAGATTGATTGATGTCCTGCAGGCTGTGATGTTACAAACACTAGTGCACTCCAGCAGGCTGCATTGTGAAGGCACAATGATGGCTAGTGCTTCCATGTGCAGGTGTGACATGATGACACGGGCGCAGTTGTGGTGCTCACTGACAGCATGGGCGACTGCCTTACGGAGGCATACCGTTCATTTTTGGAAGGCGTTATCCTTTTCAGTGTAGGTCTTCATTATACTGTGTGAACTACTGACTTTGTGCTATGGTGGAGCCACGTATATGGCAAGATTGCGAGACGTATGCTGCTGCAGTTGCCGAACACGTGACCGACTGGTGTGATGACGTTGAGAGATCTGCATAGCAGTGGTGTGACAGCAGCTCATTCTTGCTTGCAGTTGTCGTGCACGGATGATGTGAAAACTCATGGATGTTTGAGTGTTTGCCAACATTGCCAGCAACTTCCCATACGTGTGGCAATCTGCAAAGCAAATTCTTTTTATTTAATGATGTAGTTCGTCATTCTACTCAGATGCATGGACAATGTACTTACCTGTCCCACTTAGCACCTGCAATCTATATTTCTCTGTCTAGACAGCCTTTCGTAGGATGATGCTCGTCTTCATCTTAGCACTTGGAATGGCTTTTTCCTGCACTTGTTAAGCCTGCTTGTTGTTCCGTGAGGCATGCGCTCTTCAGTATTCCGGACAAACCACTTGATAGCAGTTTCACACAATGGAAAGGCTAACAAGTACTGCACGTAGGACATGCATCATCTTGTAGTCGGATTCTGTGGATAACATGACTGCAAGTGTTTGGCTTGATACTGCATTTCCAATGATAAGGTCTTCAGGAACTCAGAGATGTGTGGGTGCTTGAGCAGGGATGTACCCCAGGGCATCCTGGAGGAGAGAGAGAAAGGGAAAACTGGGCGGAAGAGATTAGAAAGACTTTCTGATGACATAACTGAGTTTCTCAACATTCCTATTGTTTGGTAAGCTCTTGTTGTGCTGCTATATTTGCTCCTCTTGCTCCCTTAGTGGTCAGTCTGTATCTGACTTGGGAAGCACTTTTATCTTTGATCAGTATGATTACTATGTCACCATTGTGGTTATGCTTTGGTTAGTAGTTTGGCTGATCCATCCTGCCTACTCGATTTGTTTGTGTGTGTGTGTGTGTGTCGTCATATTCGCTATGCACAACTCCACAAAGAAAAGCATGTGTGTGTGTGTGTGTGTGTGTGTGTGTGTGTGTGTGTGTGTGTGTGTGTGTGTGTGTGTGTGTGTGTGTGTGTGTGTGTTTGCGCGCTTCCCTGTGTGCACAGCAGGTACTGGGTGGCAGGTTTCGAGAAAACAGTGGCTTGACTGAGGAGATGCGAAGCAATTCACAGACCTGTGTTCTTACACAGCTGGCCCTGGTGTTGGGCTCTGCAAAACCGAAATATATAGCGAAGCTTTTGTCGGGGCCAATCACGTCAAAACTTTATGCAACGCTAATCAAGCAGGTCAGATCTGAAAGGGTACATGAAGCTCAAACGTTTCCCAGTTGTGAATGCCAAACTCTTGGTCAATCAATGGTTGGGCATGCCTCACCGTCATTGTAGAACATGTGCAGTGACTACAGTCTTGGTGTGTGTTTAGAAAATGATAAGGAATTCAGATGCCGAGGATCTGTGTCTTCGAATGCTGGTGAGTGATGTGCTCGAGGAGTTCGGCAAAAAACGAAATTGGGAATGGTTGGAGAACAGATGCAATATGGGGGATGTGAGACGGTGTTTGTACATGGGTGCAACTAATGTATTGTAACTGATGCGAAGTGAACTATAGGCAGTTATGCTGCTTTCAGTGGGATCGCAAGACCATTGCCCTGTGAGGAATTCCGTGTTTCTTTTTGGAAAACGTGCTGTCTGATATTTGCAGTTGTTTTTCAAACGAGCACTGCTGGGGCTACTCCTGTGGGTGCTGCTACAGCAGGACTGTCGTTGATAACCTGCCCTGGCATGGCTGGTGCTGCTGCTGGAAAGGCGGGAATAGAAACTGCACGTAGACCCGTCTGACCCACAGCATGCAGAGTCCAGACTCAAATAGCTGGGTGGGAAAGCTTGGTCCAGTTTATATCAGGCCTAGTTCAGGAAGCAGGATTTTTTTTAATGTTGTTTGGTAAATTTGGTTATGGACTCGGATGATAATTTGAAAATGTGAGTTTCTCGGTTTGGTGCAATGATGAAGAAAATGACAGAATGAAGCGAGCGAAAAAGGGGAAAAAAAGAGGAAAAAAAGAGGAAGTAAAATAAAATTAAAAACTAGGCTACCAGAGCGGTCCGGGACTTCTAGCAAGTTTGACCGGCACTTTTTCATGATCCGGGGACCAATTCCTCGAGTAATGACGAGACGCCAGACATCCCTGCTTGGGATGATGATATAGTCKGAASTTYGTGGCGACACGAAGGAGGAAGGCCTCGGTTGAAATGATGTTTGAAGTTTATTTCAATTAACACAATTGTGTCGCATAAGTAGCGACCTGCACGAATGGCGTAACGATTGCCCCGCTGTCTCCAACATGGGTGCAATGAAATTGAAGTCTCCGCGAAGATGCGGAGTATATATATAATATACTCAAATAATATATTTTTATTATTTATTATTTTTTATTTGAAATTTGGTAAAGAATTTTGATGTGGCGCTGAGGCAAAAGTTGTGAACTTTACTTTTCTGCATAACAATTTTTTTCTTCAGTTTTTTTAACCTTTTTTTTTGTGGGGACCTTCTTTGGTCTTTGCAAGCTTGGGCAATTCGGCCAAACAAGGTGACCCAGACGGCCGGGCTGGTAGGCGGAAAAAATGGAAAAAAAAGAAGAGAATGAAAAAACAAGAACAGATGTGCCGAAGGACATCCGTTTTTGCTTTCTTTTTTCTTGACACGCATAAGGCCAGAAATTGTCCAAATTTATTTAAGAAAAAAAAGGAAAGAAATGGAAGCTGCCCCAGGCGAACGACCTAAAGCGTAGAAATCAAAACAAAAAGGAGGAACGAGGAGCAGAATTAAGTCGTCCTTCTGATCTCCCAGGTCTCCAAGACTAGATCTGTTGGATGGCATTGGCGTGCCCTCTACTGCTCTCAACCAGGGGTCTGCTTACACCCACTCTCCCATTCCACCCCAGGGTGAAGTTGACCTGTCTCTGAGTTTTTGTGTGAGCTTCGGAGAATCTATTGTCTCTGCCGGTGTTGGGTATCCTGTGCAATGAGTTGGTTCTCATGTCTCATCTCATGTTGCAAGAGATTTGTGTCTAATGGTATATGAAGAGGGTTATATGATCTGTATGGCCTGGATTGCTGATTAACACAGGAAAATCTGAATCATGGCGCAGCTTATGGTTGCAGATGAGAGAGTCAGCGATTTAGCATCAAGTCTGCTCCATGCACTTCTGTGTGACTGGGAATTGGCTGCTGGAAAGGCGGAAGAGGGCGTTGATGCTGTGATTGCAGCTCTTGCTCTCATGGAAGTAGTGCCCAAGGGCGTGATGCAGCTTCTTTATGTTTACTTCAAACAGTATCCTTTTCACATGATTCTTTTTTTTGCCCCTGCAAAAAGCAGAACCTTACGGTTCTGGCTCCTTTCCACTTTCCACAAGTTTTCAGTGTTTCACATGATTCCTTTTTTTTTTTTTTTTAATTGGACCATTTCTCGATTTATGCGTGTCATCCTTGTGCATTGGCCATGCTAATGTATCGTTCCAATTTTAACGGATGTCCCGACTCCCGATGGACACTTTTCACATGATTCTGATTTTCTGTACAGATGGCTTACCATTCTTGCTTCTGTATTCTCTCAACCTCCCCTTCCTTTTCCCTCCTGACCTCAGCGTCCGTCATATCAGCCTCCCGTCCCCATGTCTCCCTTGGTAAGTTACAGCCCTATTGGACAGCCTCGTGGAGGGGTCAGTCCCCCTCTATACAGGTATGTAGGGCCATGACTAAGAGACACCTTATCACGAGGCAACGCAGAAACAGCTTTTAGCTCAGCAACACATTGGAGAATCCTGTCTAATTTCGGCATTGTATCGGTAATCAAGAATTGCAATGAATGCTACCGTCTTCACCCGAACAGAACGCCTGGTAATTATTGCCGTATCTGGACTGAAAGTTGCACCAAATACAGCTATAATGACCGGGCATATATTTGGGTGAAGACGGTAGCCTCCTGCTCAGCTTTTAGTTTCAAGTTTCAACCAAATGAAAACTAGAAGGCCTTGAAGGTGCTACTAGCGAAAAGATAAAGAGACTGGATGAGGTTTTTTGAGAAAGCCTTAGGAGGTGAAACATAAGAGGCTGGTGTTTGGGCCGGCGGCCTAGCTCCGTTGGTAGAGCACGAAAGCTGCACTCAGGAGGTCGTGGGTCTGTTTCCCCATGCGTCCTTTCGAATCCCCACGGCCTGCTGCGGCGCGCTGCAGGTTCACCAGCTGAGAAAGTCAGCTCGCCCCGCCTGGTTGGCTGGTGTGGTTCCAGCCTGCGCCAGGTGTTAGAAGGATTGGTGCTGCTCCCCCTCTCAGAGCAGAGGTAGAATATCCCATAACCTTAGGATAGTGTAGTCATAGCGAGTAGATTCAAGGACCTTGTTCCCTCTGTTCTCCTGACCCTCTCCTGGCCCAAGACCTTGGACCTTCTAGTTGGTATCGGGTTCCGGGTGGTTGCCTGTCTGAGGGTAAATCAAGTTCTGGGCTTGTCTGGGGGGTGGACGGTCCCTTGCTTGCCCAGTCTAGGTAGTGGGAGGTACAATAATGAGAGAAGATAATAGCATAGTAAAACAATGCGGCTGTCCCCCATATGAGTAGAAGAAAAACCTGCATTTATAAACAAAAAAGAAAAAAGGAAAAAAAAAAGAGGCTGGTGGTTGCTTGTCAAAAATGTGTTGGTGTCACTGGCCACTCCAGAATGTCCGTTTGTCATTATGGTACAATTTTTTGCCTTGTTTGTGCTTGAAACAATGATGTGCTGTGGGTGTACCCCTCGGCTTAAGGCCCTGCAGCAGGCGCGTGCCCTCCCTAAGTGAAGGTGGCCCCCCTGAATCTCAATGTGCCCTGAACTCGTCAATTTTTGCAAGTCTTGGTGGGCGTGAGACAGTTGCCACGCGCCAGTTGGTTACGTCCGCTTTGCTCGTGAGAATCGGAAATATGCAGGGAGCACCGCACGTTTGTGCCTGGGTGGTTGGGTGGTTGGGCATGCCTAACCAATTCGGTCGCAGGCCACTGTCTGAACGCGCCTGGGCGCAGACACTTTGGCTGAGACTGAAGCTAATGGGAACTCGGTCTTATAGGGGAAGCAAGTGGAAAGTGCCCACCACTTTCCATATAGGAAAGGGCTGGGCTCTGGTGACGGGATTCGGGCACTCGTGTGTAGAGGCGGCAGCGCTGCTGGGGAGCAAGCGCTTGCGGGCTGCTGCGCTAGCGCCAAGGTGCAGGCGCGCGCGGGTGTCGAGAGGTAGAAGGGCGCTGCTGACGGCAACGCCATAGCCCAGCCTTCACAGCTAGGCTGGGAGTTGAACTTAGCCACTGGAGGTGGTAGTGGTCTTCATGTGTGAGGGGGAAGACGTGGGTGAGAAAGTCGAGGGTGAGAGAGAGAGAGAGATGAGGTTGATGATGTGAGGGCACGTACCTGGTCTTGGCGATGGTCTACAAGGGTCGACATCTTTATGTACTTATGCTGCTGACGTCAACTGGATGCATTGTCAGTTCGTAGGCTGCTAGTAAGCTGTGTGATCGTAGTCTGGGCACTGAGTGCCAAGTAGGAGGAAGGACTCTGGATACATATGTTGGTGGTGGTAGAGTATGCTCCCATTGACATTCGGACTCTCAGTGCTTTGGTTCTTCGTTGGTGGAATATCAGTGCATTTGTGCTTTCTGGACAGTGTTGGACTTGCTGGCTTTCGATGTGATTTTGCATTCTGGATTTCTTTTCTTTTCTTTTTTTTTCTTTTTTCTTTTTTTTTTTTTTTTAAACGGGCTCCTTTTCCATTCTGGGGAGCGTCAGTCCGGTTCCTATTCCACCGGCAAGTCAGAAAATATTACAACCAGTACTCACTCACGCTCCTCCCCCTCATGGTGTGGAGGCCCGAAGGACGGCATTGATTACTTCTCGCAGGAAGGATGTACCACCCTTCACCCCTGCCTAAGTTAGCCTATTCTCCTCTCAGACTTATGGACCTGTCTTGTTGATGCAGAGGGCTTGCCTATATGGGCTGACTCTAGCTTTTCCTCTCAGCTGTAAGGCTGTCAGATCTGTGTGGATTGCTGGTAGAGCTGGTTCAGCCTTCATCCGCACCCTTAACTATGACCCTAAGCCTGCTTTCTATGTGCTGTAGTAGTCTTTAGCCTTAGACTGCGTTTCAGGCTTCTAATTTTGTTTAGTTGTTTTTCCTCAGACGCTACACCCTAAGCCCTCCTTCCTTTTCTACTAATGGGGGGGGTATAGTCTCGGGGGAAGGACGTTTGGAGTAAAGGGGAGCATAGTAGGAGTGGGATAGCCAAGTGGGGGTGGTGGAGTTTTCGGTAGGGTGGGAGGTGGAGAGGTGTGAGGGGGCTGCGTGTATGTGTTTTATTGCTTAGGGGTTTGGCTCTGGATGTAAGGAAGGTGTTCTGGTTAAGTTGAATCTGTGCTGTTGGTTGTGGTGAAACTGAGTGATTAGTGGGTGATGTTATTGGCTTTCTAAGCCTTTTGGATTTAGATTGTCTATCCTGTATGGTCCTGGTGAACTTTTTGGAGTATGGGGGGCTAGTGTTATCAGTTTATCTCCCTCTAGGGCTGTGTACTGGAATATCTCCTTATCCTGAACCCAAGGACATACCTGTGAGATGGGTCCTGCTGGTTTTAGTCTTAGTTAAACCCTAAACCCAAGCGGTTGTTTCCTCTAACTGGTCTGTTGCCTGCTAATTTGTAGGTTTGATGATGTTGGAATTTTTATCTGTTTTAGCTTTCTATGTTTCCGTTGTTTTATTTCTGGGGTCGTGTGGGAGTCCTGTGCTTTTGTTGATGGTCTGTCCTTTTTTTATAACCCTACCTTTTCCTCTGCATATTTGCTAAGATCTCATGGTTGACTATCGGGTTCTAGGTGTCTGTCTATATGTGTCATTTATTCCTAGATTTCTGGAGTGAATCTCGCTTACCAATCTCTTTGATATTGATCTTATGTCAAAGGTGTCCCTTCTCTATCTGTCGTGGTTGTGAGTTGGTTTGTGTTATCCCAATCTTGGAACTTTATGAAAAAGTTATTTGTTTTAGCTATCTTTTGGCCTAGCAACCATTTTTCTTCGAAGATTTTTTGGCTCGCCTCTCTTCTTTTGGGGTCTGTTAACCTTTCTTGCTTCTTTAGTTCTCTTTTCCATTGAGCCCTGATTTCAGTTTCTACGATATCTTTCGTCTCCTGCCAGGCCACTTCTCTTGTTGTTATCTGGTTGTTGAGTGTTTGCTTGCATCTAGATTTCCAAATCGTCCATAGTGCCGCCCTTCGCATCAGATCTGCTATGGCCATTTCTTCCTCTTTCATCTTTCCTTCTTGGTCTCTAGCTGAAAGTAGGTAGTCAGTTTGCATTGGGAATGGATTCGGGGAAATATTGGACCAAGCTGATTTGACTGCTTCCCATATTTTGCTCGCGTGAGAACATTCAATCAAGCAATGAATCAGTGATTCTATTTTGCTATCTTCGCACGTTCTGCAGAGGGCGGACTGTTCCATTCGCTGGTCCTCCTTCCTTCGTCTATCAAGCCACTCATTGACTGGGACAGCCCAGTAAAGTATCAGCCATTGTAGGCTCCTGAATCTAGTGGGTTTTACACTGCTGTAGTAATCCCATGGGATTCYGGAGGGCCAGCCATGTTCCTCCCCTAGCTGTTTGATCCAYCTTTCTGATATGACCGAGCAGGGGTCTKTTGTCTTGTTCCTTATCCTGTACCCTGTTTTCRCYGTGTAGTCTTGCAGGTTAACTATCTTTTTTGCCCTCCCYCTACCCAATCTGRCGYGCCATCCCCATTCCACTGGGTCTATTTCWAGGTCCCTAATGTCCTTGTCTGGTSTGAATAGTATCGTATTSTTGGGGGTTGTTTCTCTAGCTGATGGTGCTTCTTTTTCCTTTTGCRTCCATGTTCTTATTTTTCTCATGTTATTTAGGTTGAATTCCAATGTTGTTATGTTTTCCTCTGCTACCCTTGTTAATGTTTTGTGTTTGTCCAATAGTTCATGAACTGCGAATTCTGCTATATCCCTCTGATTGCTCACCCTTTTTACGAATTTGAGAGCTACTGGTGGCATCACCTGTCCTTTATCCGTGGCCCAATCCCCTAACTTCCATTTGATTTCTCCTTTTAGCTGTGTTATCCAATTTAGCGGTATACTGTCTGTCATCTCCTCCAGGTTTTTCTCTAAGTTATGGCTTCCTTTGAGTGGTTGTCTTAAATCAGAGGCTGTTATCCATCTCTTCTCCTCTTCTTTCCAGATGTGTTCTATTTTCCAGACTCCTTTTTCCACCCACTTTCTCCATCTTCTGCCCTTGCTTGTTA